CACACACACACACACACACACACACACACACACACACACACACACCTTTTCTTGTCTGATGTCCTTCATTTTCCTCTGAGCCAGTCTCTCTTGTCCACTTCACCATATCTCTTTCCATCAGTCTCCCGCGGACCAAACCCTTTTGAAACATGCACACCAGCCCCGCTCTTTAGCCTGTGTGCCGTCTGTGCAGCGGACCCACATCTTTCTGAATGTCCCTTCAGTTTGTCCTAATTTATTGTGACTGCATCTGTCTCACATCAAGCCCTATTCCTGTGTGCACATTGAATGTGGATCTTATTTGTGCAATAATAACAACAACTTGGATTTTCTTTGTAGTTCAAACAACCTCGAGTGAAGTAGACTATTTTTGCCATGAGTTCCTACTCATGCACTTGGAAAAATCAGATCACAGCGCCGGCTATGATGAACACAGGAAAAAAATGATATATGTAAATATTATTTATCCCAAAGGTGGGTAGCATCCCAAACCTCAAATAGAGATACATTATTTCACAGGAGTAACATTAGCATATGTACTCCATATGTATTATCTGATGGCTTTTTTCTAATCACTTTGACTTGAATGGAGTAGAGAGTACTGGGTTCTTTCCCTTACCAAATGATGTATATGTATAGATATGTTTTCTACCTTTTCTCTTAAAATGCAAAGCAGATGTTCCTAACGAAAACATTTAACAGAGAGAATCCCAGGGAGCAAGACTAAGGAATATTTTTATTGCTTATTTTCTAGAGATATTTTTCAGCCTTATTTACTGTTTACACCTGCACTCAAAAACTTGAGCTCTGTGTCTTTAACATTTCTATCAGCTAATGAGCTACATGTGTGATTTGTTGTTATTTTCGTAAGTCCTTCTTGCTTAAGTGCTTTCATGTGAATCAGTGTCGACACCGATCTTTGAGCACGATGACGCGCTGTAACTTAGATCTGTATGTATGAGGATGGCGCTTCATGCTCATCTGATTTACAGGCCGCTTTATTTATTCAAATTGTCTTTGTCATCTTATTTTTGTCTGAAAGGCAGCTCCAAATGTGTCCCAGTGTGTTTTAACTGACCGTCTACGCGTCTTAACTTCAGTGCCAGCACTACTGACGGGCATTGTCCATGCACAGATGACGTAGTCACTGATATTTGCTAGATTTCTATGGGTATGCTTCAAATGTCGTTGGTTTTTCTAATGATTTATCGTCTTTGTACATCTTCTGGATTCCATATCAACCTGCTTTCAGTGTCAAGTGTTTTGTTTTGCTATTTTTGTCTGACTTTTCAGTCAAACATGGCTTACATGTCACTGTAACTTTGATGTTCTTATGTGTGTTATGTTCTACTCAATCGATGGGAATTGGAGTGTAGCCAGTCTGGCAATGTGACCATTCCTATAAATGTTCATCAAAGTTTAGAGAAGCTTTTGTTGATGTTTTCAGCATTTTAGCACAACTTTTTAACTGTTCGATATTAACTGCATTGTTGTCTTTGAGTGAGTCATTCCAATATTGTTGTTTTTCTTCAACAAAAATGACTTGAATAACGACTTTGTGATGCATTTGCTTTCAATAAACATAATACGATAGGTGGAGCAGATGATTATGGTCTGGAATTGCACTCTTCAGAAATGTGCTCTCTGACCTAAGTCAAAGTTGGTCTCAAGCTGTCTGCAGCACCATGCAGTATCGTAGGTCTGCATGTCTGAGGCAGAATGTAAATGTAACCACAACGTGAAGAGAGATTATCAGAATGTTTGAGCTCTTTGATGTAATGTTAGTTTCCCAGCCTGCTCACCACAAACACCTGCTAACTGACCTGCAGTGACCATTGGAAACCTGCTTATCAGTTGCTTTTGCCCTTGGAATTGTATTTGGGTTGAAGATAAACCACTTAGAGGAGTTTGTAAAGCTACGCTGTTTGTTGACCGTGCTGTTGGAAACTGCTGCAAAGATTAAATCACTTTCATTGTATCAAGTATTTGGAATGAGTTTGTGTTTATTTACAGAAGGCACACACGGACTGTAGTCACAACTTAAAAGCTCATGACGAACATGTTTGAAAGCCTTCTGACTCGAGTCACTGACATCCTGCCAGTCGGCCAGTCATTCACTCCCGTCTTAAAATGGTATTTGAATGAAATCCTATGCCAGTGGGATGAGATAATGACTTGTTTCCAGAGTTTAAAAAAATGGCAAAACAAGCCTAAAAAAGAACAAGTTGTAGGAACAAGTGAAATAGTTTCTCAACACGTTGGTCGAGTATTTCTCTTTAATATGTGGTATTCAGATACGTGAGTATAGTCCACTTCATGTCCTGCTATGTAGCCTACTGAAGGGTCTATGTAAACTAAACCTTGTATACACCCCCCCCCCCCCCCCCCCCCCCCCCCCCCCACCCCCCCCCACCCCCAACCCCC